TATTATGCATGCAGCCGCTGCACCAAGCAACCTTGACGCAGCCAGTACAATGCGATCTGCAACCGGAGATTCCAAAACACCTTATAACTACGCACACACAACCACACCCAAAGCAGCTTGCAGCCACCGTTACACTGCGGCAAAAAAAAAAGCAAACCGACCGCAGCCGCAACCGCCGCACACACGAGGTACCGTCCACGGAAAAACACAAGGTTTCGTGCTCCGGCTTCCTCCCCAAAACATAGCCCATGCAACATCATGCAGCCATTCCAATGCGATCTGCAACCGGAGATTCCAAAACACCCTATAACTACGCACACACAAGCACACCCAAAGCAGCTTGAAGCCACCGTTACACTGCGGCAAAAAAAAAACGACAAACCGACCGCAGCCGCACCCGCCGCACAGACGAGGTACCTTTCATCGCCGGCTGCAGCCACTTTACACGGAAAAACACAAGGTTTCGTGCTCCGGCTTCCTCCCCAAAACAGAACCCTTGCAACATCATGCAGCCATTCCAATGCGATCTGCAAGCACAGATTCCAAAACACCCTATAACTACGCACACACACAAGGACACCCAAAGCAGCTTGAAGCCACCGTTACACTGCGGCAAAAAAAAACGACAAACCGACCGCAGCCGCACCCGCCGCACAGACGAGGTACCTTTCATCGTCGCCTGCAGCCACTTTACACGGAAAAACACAAGGTTTCGTGCTCCGGCTTCCTCCCCAAAACATAACCCATGCAACATCATGCAGCCATTCCAATGGGATCTGCAACCACAGATTCCAAAACACCCTATAACTACGCACACACAACCACACCCAAAGCAGCTTGAAGCCACCGTGACACTGCAGCAAAAAAAACGATAAACCGACCGCAGCCGCAACCGTCGCACACACGAGGTACCTTTCATCGTCGCCTGCAGCCACTTTACACGGAAAAACACAAGGTTTCGTGCTCCGGCTTCGTCCCCAAAACATAGCCCATGCAAGATCATGCAGCCATTCCAATGGGATCTGCAAGCACAGATTCCAAAACACCCTATAACTACGCACACACAAGCACACCCAAAGCAGCTTGAAGCCACCGTGACACCGCGGCCAAAAAAAAACGATACACCGACCGCAGCCGCAACCGTCGCACACACGAGGTACCTTTCATCGTCGCCTGCAGCCACTTTACACGGAAAAACACAAGGTTTCGTGCTCCGGCTTCCTCCCCAAAACATAGCCCATGCAACATCATGCAGCCATTCCAATGGGATCTGCAACCACAGATTCCAAAACACCCTATAACTACGCACACACAAGCACACCCAAAGCAGCTTGAAGCCACCGTTACACTGCGGCAAAAAAAAAACGACCAACCGACCGCAGCCGCACCCGCCGCACAGACGAGGAACCTTTCATCGCCGCCTGCAGCCACTTTACACGGAAAAACACAAGGTTTCGTGCTCCGGCTTCCTCCCCAAAACAGAGCCCTTGCAACATCATGCACCACTCCCCTTCATGGTTGCCAGTTCCCTTCCTCACCACTCCCCTTCATCATCACTTCCCTTCCTCTCCACTTCCCTTCGTCACCACTTCCCTTCCTCACCACTTCCCTTCGTCACCACTCCCCTTCATCATCACTTCCCTTCTTCACCGCTTCCCTTCGTCACCACTTCCCTTCCTCACCACTTCCCTTCGTCACCACTCCCCTTCATCATCACTTCCCTTCTTCACCGCTTCCCTTCGCCACCACTTCCCTTCTTCACCACTTCCCTTCCTCACCACTTCCCTTCGTCACCACTCCCCTTCATCATCACTTCCCTTCTTCACCACTTCCCTTCGTCACCACTTGCCTTCCTCACCACTTCCCTTCCTCACCACTTCCCTTCCTCACCACTCCCATCGTCACCACTTCCCTTCGTCACCACCCGTCATTAACTGCTTCTTATTCTTTTGTTATGTATTGTTATGCGATCTACCACCCTGCATCATTTCAAGTCGCAGAATTCTATTTGTCCGTAACACGGAAGTATTGCTTCCCAACTTCCTTTGATAAGTGGATATCATGGACTAATCTGACTAATCCAGATTCTGCCAGTAAATCACCATTAAATTCACCATAACAATAGTGTTTAAACTTTCGACGGTGCTATTCCATGCTATTCCGAGGTTCCAGGAAGGCCAAAAAATTGGGGCCGCAAGGACCGTTTGACAGGACTCCAGGCAGAACGACTGGAACGACGACTGGATGAAATCACTATCTACAGGTCACTTAAGCGGTTTTTTTTCATGAGCCACGTATCGCCATGTCAAACGCGTTTTCAATATTTTCCGAAAAGGGAACAGTTCTGTGACCTCCATGTGCTCAGTCGGTTCTTGGATGCTGGACTCTTGAGATGTCACCTGCCAGGTTGCTCACCATGGGTAGCGGAAGCTCGGCTCAGGCATACCAGCTGACAACCGAGGAGGCGGTTGATTCATTTGGATTCATTTGCGTTCGTCCGCAAATGAGTGCTGACACGTGCAGACAGGTATTTCATGGTATTTCTATCTATTTTGGGGTTGCTAGAACCTCAATGGTCAACCCCAAAGCTGGATTTTCTTCTCACAAAAACAGATGCCGCAAGGAACCGAATCCCCCACCATTTTCTCAATGGAGGCCGCTGCAGTGGACACCGCCCTTGAACAGGCGAGAAGATGGTGGGGTCAGCTGATCCGGGATCCGGGCCGTGTGGAGGAATGCCTAAAATTTGACCTCTGTTGGAACAGTCGAGCCTCTTGGGCTTGATGTTTGTCATATCAACCTCTGTTGGATCGCTTGTCCAGCGTTTTGGGATCCAGTTCGAATTGGACAAAATGCAGCCACGCATAGACAAAGTCAATCCTGCAAGCTCTAACTCCTTCTTTGGTCACGTGTCATTATTTCACGCCTTGCCTTCTCGAATGCCACTTCACTAATCTTCACTGAACCCAATTTGCTGAGGATTCAAGGTGCATTTTGCGTCAAAAAAATCGGCTGGCTGAATTGGATCCTGTACACTGCTTTGCAAGGCTCCCAGCCTGCGAAGAAGAGTGGAGGAGCTGCCGGTGAGCGGATTTTTTTTGCAACCTATGCGAAGCAGATTTTGATACATTTAGCTCAACACTCTGAAAATGCACTTCCAAAGACTTCTTGATTCTAAATGATTAGAATATGTTGGATTTGTATAGATTTGTCTGAGACATCTAGTATGAGTTTGACATGATTTCATAGCGGTGAAGACGTGAACGCTTCTCACATCCCCGATCTGCCTGGAAGGCTGGAGCTTACGAGTCGCAACAACTCCAAGAAGAGGTGGCGCAACTCCAAGAAGAGGTGCACAAGGGAAGACATCCTGATGAACCCATAGAGGTTGCACATCTTTTTTCGATGGTGCCCTTGTTTTGGAGGAATCGGATTTTTCTGCTGGTGTAGAACTTTTGAAGCCGGTTTGATTTCTTAACCACCATTTTTTGCTGGGAAAAACCCATGGGGAAAAATTAAGTCGGGGTCATACTCCAAGGTGTGGCCGGCCGAACTTTTAGGTGATTCAATGGTTCCTTCTTGGCAGTGTTTGTTTTATTTTGTTTTTGGAGTTCGTTTCCGAAAAGTCGGACCTTAAGTCTTGCAGAATTTCAATTAAATTCCGTGAGCCCACTGTATTATACCTTCTTCCAGCCTGACAGCCATAGGCAAAGCGGGTGTCTAACAAGCTATTGCAACAAGCTTCTGAACCCTGGAAGAGTCCTACGGTGGATGGAAGAAATCCTGAACCAGTTGGTAGATGGTTTATCCCATTATTTATAGGTTTTCAATCATCCAGGTGATGCAGGATTTCTTCCATCCACAGTAGCACTGAAGCAATACTGGCAGATAATAACTGGCAAAGTGCCCTAAGGCTTTTGATGCTTTAAGCAATTGAAAACCCAGTCGGGTGATGCATGTTAATTTTCTGCTTTCTCCATTCCAAACAAAACAGTCTTGATTTGCGACCCTCAAGAATTAGGATCCGTTTTGAATCATTTTGAATCTCATTTGTGAAATTGAGAAACCCTTGTGAAATTTGGCATCCACGATTCGATGAAGGCTCCAAGCCCGAAGGATTCATTGATGTTCACAGGTCCGCTCGTTGCGTCAACCAGAAGCTGCAGCGCAGGTGCCGTCAAATAGACCTCGCTTGATGCTTAAAACTTTTGCAACAGATTATGATTATTATGCGAAACAGAAGAACAATGGGAAATCGTAGACAGAAGACTCAAAGAATCAAGCCTAAATTTTCGAAACTTGGTTCCAAGCAGGGACCTTTCAGAAACAGAGTGTTTCATACATGATCCCCCTTGCCATTCAGGTCCTTAAACGCCTTGGTCTGAAATTCTTCTGGTACCTTAGGGCACTTAGGGCCTTTGTTCGTGTTAGACAGTTCGCATTTTTTGCACAAGAGTCATGGAGTCACAACTGAATCAAACCCGCATTTACCCTCTGGTAAACTAACATAGCTATTGAAAATTGTCATGTATAGTGGATTTACCCATTACTGTAAAAATAGTGATTTTCCAGAGCTATGTTAGTTTACCAGAGGGTAAGTGCATGATCAGAAAACTCTCACTTTGTTGAATAGGCTGACATTGAAGAACCTCATCTATACTTCACATTGCGAGACAAGCCAGCCATCTTGGAGAGAACTGCGGACATCGCCTACCATGGCCACATCAAGGAGGAAGAAGGTGTGGACTGCTATGTGTCCTTTCCTGGCAAATATGCAGCCGGTTGGGATGCTTTGATCAAGGAACACCACGGACAGTCTGTGGCATGTGTGTTCCTATGCTCTCCAACTGATGGTTTGGGAAAACACCACAAAGGTCCTGATGGTGATTGCTACTGCCACACAATTTATGGGCAGCGGGACTTTAGAACCTTCGGTTACTTGAAAGAGTTGCCAGCATCTTGCAGCAAAGATGAGATGAAGATAGAGGTAGAGAAAGCAAAGGCAACCAACACTGTCGTTGTTCGCGTAGATGCCACGAGGGAAACCAAACAAGAAGCTGAACAAAAAGCACGAAAAGCTTGGGAGGACAGTGGCCGAGTTGCCTCCTGGGGGTGCCAATGGTTCCACACATGGAAGGAACAGGTGGCACAGGCGGTGAAGTTGAGACAACGTCTCAAGGTAGTGTTCTTTCCGGGCCAAACTGGTCAAGGAATCGTTCCCTTTGATCACTTGAAAAGTGACGCCATCGATCTTTGGGATGGAGTCGGCTGCGGCGGCAGCCAAAAGTGTGAAATAGCACATTTGGAGCTGATGAGGCGACAGGAAGGAGAGGCGGGAGAGGCTTGGGAGTACGATCATGTGGATGTCAGCCATTTCCTGAAGGAAGAGTTCAAAGTTGGCGCGAAAGTTGATGCCTGCAACGGCAAAGAGTGGTGTAGGGGGACACTAGTTGGTGTTCCCTCAAGGATACCGAATAAACCCCAGGACTCAAAATGGACCATACAGTCTCGAAGTAGTGGGCAGCTGTTCGTAACTGATCGCATAAGGCATGCTGATTTCATACAAACCATGCTTGCAGAAGTTGGACGTGAACACTTCATCGGCCTGGTGAAAAACTCGTTACCGCCAGATCTCAAGACCTTCAAGGATCAGGAATTCTTATTCCCCGATGGCACTCCATCACTGGCGATTAGACTTCGCATCAAGCATATTGATTTACTTCAGCACGTGCGCGACTTGGTCTTGAGCAATGAGTTGGAAAGCAACATCAACAAAGGTTTGGTCAACTGGCAAATCCATGTGGACAAGACATTCTTTTGCAAAGTTTTCGAACTGGAATTGCAGAACCTATCAGACTTGACAGACCATCAAAAGGAGAAAGTGAGAGAAATCAAGGATCTCATCAAAGATGAAGACGTCCATTTATCGGCCCCTGCAGGAGCTGGGAAGACGTTCGTAGCTGCACAATGTGCACTGGATAAGCTCAGAAGCAATCATGAAGGACACATTCTGTTCGTGGCACCTTCCATTGCCCTTGGCCTCTACTTCGTGCGGTGGCTCGCTCAGAGCCCTCCAAGCCGTGGGAAGCTTCATATGTTGTTGAGGCGCATTGTGTTGATGGAACATCCATACCAACATTTTTTGAGCTTGCACGTTGACGGTGACCGCTTGGGTTGGACGACCTTGCCCGACAGCAAGATGCGATTTCTCTTGACCATCATCGATGAAGCACATGATATTTTCTGTACAGATGGGAACCGCACTTTTCTGGAAGAGAAGATTGAGGCACCACGACAGGTGCTGTTCTTGTCGAGCGTATCCCAAAACTCATTTGGTGCAGTGGACTTTCCACCAGCCAAAAAGATCACAATGACCCAAGTGGTGCGCAGTACGCAGAGGATCGTGGCTGGGGCAGCTGCATTTCAAGCAAGTGCGGCAGAGAAAGATCAGATCGGCTCATTATGCCCAGCTGGGCCCCCTCTGAAGGCTTTCCTCTTTGAGTCTGATGGACAGCTTTACGAAAACTATGCCGAACACACTGTATCTGCATTATTTTTTGTCATGTGCATCTACGCTGGACTCAGTTTGCACAAGCGCTTGGTGCTTTTGGTTCCCAACCCTGACTTTCTGGAGGAGTTCCGAGATGCGTTGCAAAGACATTTCTTGACGGCACGCCTTGCAGGGCGAAACTTCAAGCTGATATCGTTTACTGAGTCGCTACGCATGCTGCCAAACGTCAAAGTGAAGCAGGCCACACAGGCAGACAATGCAGAGATGATATTGCTGGACACAGTGGAGAATGCAAAGGGACTGGAGTCACTCATCGTGGTGTGCATTGGTCTTGATCAAAGAGTTGCTGGCCAAAGTGCAAATCAGGTTGGACGTTCCATTATTTATCAGGCTATCACTCGGGCGCAGCTTCAGGCAGTGATTGTGAACCAGCTCCTCCGAGGAGGTTGGCTGGAGTTCTTGGGGGTCACGAAATTCAAAAGTGATACCTTTAATGAATCCACAGCTATGGCCGAGACCACCACTGCTGCTGCTGAAGCCTTGACGAAAGTGCAGCTGCCATCGAAGTTGGCAATTCAGGTCTCGCAGGAAGATTCATCGCGAAGAGAAGATGCCAGGGCGATCCAAAGAGATCCTCTGAAGCCAGATGCTGTGCCACCTTCAAAGCCAATGTTGGAAGAAGGTCAAGACCCCACAACTGCACCTGAGGCGGGTGACAAGCCCGGTGACAAGTTGGTCGTGGAGATCAAGGATTCATCTGTGTGGGACGCCGATGTCATTGACATCAAGGAGCCGATCTCACAGCTGCAGTTTGACCCTCGATCACCCACGGGAAAAGCTGAGGAAGAGGTAGCATCCTTGGAGGTGCGGAAGTATCGTGTCTCACACTGTACACTGTCTTTGAAGTTTTGAGAGGTTTGATATGGGGGCACTTGTTTTTCATGTAGAACATGCTGTTTGCTGCTGTGCCCAAGACCCTCCGTGTGAGTTT